AGGGATTATTCCCCACTGGAGTTTAGCACTAAACTTCATCACCCACTCCAATTTAGTTTTCATAACAGAGCTTTGCTTTTATTTCACAAACTAGAAGTACACAGAGAAGAAAACAGCCTGCTAAAGGCCATGAATTAGGAAAAAAGACCAGAACTGGGACTAGAGATGTATGGAGAAAAAAACCCCAAGAATTATCACAGAAAGGAAGAGGTTTTATTTGAAAGGAAGCTAAAAACCTGAAACTCTGTGACTTGGAGAAAAAAAAAAAAAGCTGCCATTTGTAAAAAAAACCAAAACAACTCTCATGAGTAGTAAAAAGCAGATGAACAGGAAAAAGGCTGTTCATACATTTCTCAGAATACAAGAACTAGTCGTCACCAAATGAAATAAGGTGGTGTGGTTTGAAACAAACAAAGGGAAGTACTTTTTCACCCAGCACATAATTGTATTGTAGAATTATTAGACACAGGATGTTGCAGAGGCCAGAAATACAAATAGAGTTAGAATTAAAAAAAACCAAAAACAACAACAAAACAACAAGCAAGCACTTTTTTCTGTGAATTTGCCTAATTTGCCTAATCTATCAAGGGCTACTAAAAGCAGTGGTGCAGATGCTGCTTCCCTTTTCACAAGCCCTGGTGGTGAAAGGCTGGTGAGGTCTGGAGCAGCACGGGGGAGGAACTGCATGTCCCTGGTGTGTTCTGTGCACAGTCTGCCAATCAGCCCTGTGGGACAGAGGAGGAGTGGCACCTGGCCCAACATCACTCCTGTGATGAGGCCACCTCCTTAGCTTGTGTTCAGGTTGCTGTCAGACCCTCCACTGATTTTAATCTCCAAGGACAGAGCTACTCAGACTATTTCAGCAGGGGCTGCTGTGCTCCATGAGAACCCATGCCAGGTTTAAAGCCATCAGCCACAGCAAGTACACTGGTGCTCTCCTCATCATCATTGTATCCCAACTGCCAAAGCCCTTCTATTCTGACTTCAAAGGATACCAGCACTTTTTGGTTTGTAGGACACAATGCAAGCATGACCACCTTCAAACAGTGCCCATCATAATGAGCCTTACAAAATTCAAAGACATTTTGGTTTAGAGCTCTGCCATGTCAGCTTGGCAATATTGTATTTTATCAAAACAGAAGCTTAAGTACAGGTGTCTGTCTTACAGGCACCAGAATACTATACCTACTTCAAATTTTTGTTGTTGTTGAAATGCATCTTGCACTAAAATCCAAGATTGCTCTTCCATTCCAGAAAGTGGTGGGTTTTTTTCACTATATGCCCTACTGTACCACAACAAAGCAAAAGATATTTCCAGCACTTGCTTCATAAAAGCATGTCTCTGAGTAAAGCAGTTACTCTCATGCAACTTCTGAAGTTTCCTTTAATTGCTATACATGGAATTCTAGATTCTACTCGGGAAAAATGAAATCTTTAAAGACTGATGAGTATATAATAAGAAAGTAGTTCTGGATAATTTGGGGCACTGCAAAAGTATAACTTATATCCAAGTTAATGTGCAACTAGAAATACTAGAAAACTTTCAAAAGACTCAGTGGCACCTTATTTACAAATATACTATTTATAATGAATGCATTGATACAGAATGACTCATAAAAAAGCAAGGCAATCTTTTATATAGACATAATAATCAACATTACAATAATTCAGATTAAAAGTACATTTTTGTAGACTGTTTACACTCTTGTTTAGCTTTTAACCACAAAATTAGTGTGGTCTGGTATTTTTCCACAGCAAAAGTCCTGTGCAGTCCTGGTTAAGACCTAAAAATCAGAATAATAAACAAAATTTTCTGATCTTTGCTAACATAAAAACTAAAACCATTTGCAGATATTCTAATTTGTTTGTAATTGTCCGGACTGTGCCTTGAAGTTTCTGTTGTGCAAACTACAGCCAACTGCACATTTCTAATTAGAAGCTATTCATGGCATGCTGATTTGATACAATGGAGGTACCATAGTGACTAGAAGAAAATTCTTACTTGCATCCAGATATGAAGACCCCCTTGAGATGGGTTTGTACTGATTCAGAAATGTTATTCATTTGCAAGTTAAAAACAAACAAAAAAAGGAAAAAATAACCTCTCACATTTTTCTAATTGTGAAATAAAAGGTGTTTTTCAAACTCCCAGGATTAAAGAGGATACCTGAACTCCAGGTGACACAATAGGTTTAAGTGCTAACCAGCTAGACAGTTTCTGTACTGATTTACTAAGTCATGTATATGAGCAAACACAACCTTCAAGACTGAACATGCACTTTCTCACATAACATTAGCAAAAGAGGAACAAAACTGCAGAGGAAAATCGAAATCCAAGAGAGGCACTGAAGCAAATATCCCACAACCCAAACCTCTTTCTAAAAAGGGGTGTATGAATTTCAAAGTTTCCAAAGTGTCACTTACACAACCGTGTGACCCAACTTTTCAGGCAGCCTTTGCACTGCACTTACACTAGACAGCTTTGGTGATGAACTTAAACATGGGACATCCTGAGACAGAACTTCAATGGGTTTCTACTAAAAGAAAACATTTTTTTCCAAAGACTTACCAAATAACTTTCTATTTAGCAGATGTAAATGCAACATGTGGCCAACGTGAGTCACAGCAGCAATTATTCCTTCTTTTCATTATTCAACGAATCCCTAATCTGCTTTACACCTTACCAGACTTCCATAATACTGTATATTCTGTAGAACAGCAATTCAGATTGTTAAATCAAGGCATGATTCAGGCTACTGTCTTTTTGAGGCATGTGTATATGTACATATTCTTATGTACGTGGACACAGACACATATAAAATGGGCATTTTATCTGTGGACAAGCAATCAAGGTTATGGTTTTCACCCAAAGTAAAGATTGTCACACTTTCCAACAACCCTTGTAAATTGTTTTCCTCGGTATGGCAAGGAGCATAAATATTTAATACAAGTATCTGGGAATCACCTGTTTCTCTATTTTTTCATCAAAGATGCCATAAAGAATTAATTTATCCACCTTGTCTCTGCTTTCATACATGTATAAATACACATATACATACACGTATGTATGTATGTATACATACACTTGTCAGGATGAAGCTCTTCTCATTCATACTTTAATTGATTAGGCCAGACAAAATTCTTAAACATGTATAAGCCAGCATGTGTGTCCAACGGAATGTCATCAGGCATTAAATACAATCTAGGAACTGCACCAGTTAACAACCCAGTATCCTGGGAAATGCAAATGTGTGTTGTGTCAGGATGTGAGACTGCTTTGAATGATCAAAAAACCTGGATTTATATGGATCTGAGAACAGATTTGGATATCAATCCATGTACGTACTTCCATGGATTCATACACCTCTATTCCCAATCCATATCACACAGTTGATACTTAAAACTTCCAGACAATTTTAAAGAACTTTTCAAATTCTTCTGAGTTGGTTTCTCCTATACCAAAACTTCTCAAACTGCTTTTCCCCCCCCACACACTCCTTGAGACACTGAAAAAAAAAAAAAAAAGCATTCACCTCAGAATACATAAAATTAAACTCTTAAAACAGGGCCCAGGGTTATCTGGCATTGCAACAACCATACTAGTACAAAGATAGTTTGAAAAAATATCCTGTTTTTAATATAGTAATGAATTAAATCATAGCTTTATTTATTCCTACAAGTGTAATGAAAAGAATCGTTTGTTTTTAAGCAAGTGTAACGAGCACTATTTTGGTGGCCAACTTCTCCACAGGAATTTATCTGAGAGAGGGTCAGCTCAAATCATACAGTTATTAACCATGTACCTTAACAAGGTGAATAATCAACACATTTACAAACTAAACAAATTCAATCCCGTCAACTCTTATAAAAATGGGATTGAGGAGCAGACAGGGAATGAGACCAAGATGCTTGAAAACACAGGGGTCACCACTTTTGTTTTAAGGAACCATATTAATCAAACCGGTTTCCCCTAGAGACCTGAGGGCACAGATACAGATTTAGCAGTATATTCAGAAGTTAGATTACAGTCTTGACACTAAGCATTTCAGCATCTTCATATTTTAACACCTTAATGCTGAGAAACATTAACTTCAGGCAGAACTGTAAGGAACTAGCCTTTTATAAACTACCATCTAAACTGAAAAGCTACAGTAGATGTAAAAAAAAAGGGGGGGGGCACGGCAGACAGAGATAGTGTGTGAGAAAGAAAGAACATTATTTAGTAAAATCCAGTGACATCTACAATAGTTTTACAGCATGTTTAAGCCCTCTAAGGTTTTATATCTCCACCTGCCTTCCATTTAAACTTACTCCTTGTTAAGGAAAAGACGTATGACAAAACAGAATGCAAACAGATCAAGGCAATACATCTAAGGAAGCATGCCTGAAAGCCAGAAATTATATTCCGTAGACTTCTGCATGTGAAATAGATTTCCCATGTCATGGGTTGATTTGATTTTGTTCAAAAAGGTACAATCCTCTAAGTCACACTACCCCAGCAGCAATTCCAATGAGTCTAAAGTGGACAGTTCTTGAGTAACCGTGGAATGCAACCGCCTTGAGTTCCTACCCTCCTGAAAAAGGACAACTGGCCCTACAAGTGCAGCAACAGTGTAAATCTCCCTGAAGCATCTCCTGCCTTTTAACAACCAAGAAAGTCGCCAAGATAAACCTGAATGTCCACTACTTACAGTGTTTCTCTTGAGCTATCAACACCTGTGCACAAATGAAAAAGGTGCCTTTTTTTAATAGATTGGTTTAATACTGAAACAGATAGGATGAAGTTAAAAAAAGAATAATCAAGATACTGAACTGAATATTTTGAAGCAAGTGCCCCAGCTGTGGGGAAAAGTGCATTTAGTTCAGCAGCAAAACAGCACAGTGTGAAGATATTGTGCTTGGACACAGAAGTTCCATAATGGAAGGAGGTACAAGGCAAGTCAAGATATAAAACCATAGTACATTGTTAACCAACCTTAAAACTTACATATATTGCAGTGTTTAAAAGTAAGACACATTCATTTATTGTACAAGGACTATAAGGAATCCTTAAAATTGCCTGTTGTAGTTTTTGACTCAACATTGTAATAAAAATGTACATATATATTATTTCCTTGCCACTTAACTGCACTGTTAGACCTCATGGAATTGTTACTTCACAAAACGAAAACTGCTCTTCACTGAGAACACTCGACGTTTTACCCATCGGAAAAGATTTACTTGTGCTAGAAAAGACCAACTGCAAAAGGCTCAGTTCAGATATGTTATGCCTGTAACTGATAACTCAGGGAAGCAAGACTTAAGGGAATTCAAGCTTTTTTCTTTTTTTTTTCCTTTTTGTTTTGACTGCATCCTTTTCACCTGCCAGTTGTTCTGATGAGTATATGTTTTTAGTATACAAACCGGTTGATAAAAATTCATCAGCAGAGGCATATAAATTCTAGATATGATTGATTAAAACAGAGCAAATCAGAATAAAACAAAATCCAGTGATTTACTCTGACTGTAAACAATATAAAAACACCATTTGCTTCAAATCTCAAATAAGTTAAAAGAAAATCCCAACCTCAGGACACATGACCCTTTCAGGTTTTGACATTTAAAAAAAAAAAAAAAAAGAGGGAGAAAACCAGAAAAGTTCATTATATAAAGGTTATACATTTCTCTTAACTGAAAGTAAATCTAAGCAAAACTATTTTTTGTCCCTTAAATTTAAACTTTGAGTTCATTGGCAATTGCTTTAAATGAACTGGCATTACCAGATTATTCAGACAACTTCCATCAAATTCAGCAAAGAAAACTTAGACAAGCATTTTTACAGAATAAAAAAAGAAAATCTAAATGGCTATGATTCCTATTAGCAGAAAAAAATAATGCAGTCTTAAATTTGCCTTTTTATATTATTTATATATTTATATATATATATAATATAATATAAGCCAGATATATTATATTATATATACATATACAGACAATTACAACATTAATGCAGTTTGTATTTTGTACAGTGTATTGGACAATCCGATTAGCATCAGACCATGGCACGATATGGTCCCTGCATTTTTAGGAACTGAATGATGAAGGAGGGTCCTCCTGCAACAATCTGAGGTGGAAGGTGGCTGAGTGGGCAGTTCTCAATACTCATTATTGACAGTTTGCTGCAAAGAGCCAGCTCAAAAGGAAGGCTGTGCAGATTGGGGTTGTCATTCAAATACAGTTCTTCCAGATTCTCCAGTGTACCTGGTTAAAAGAAAATAATACCAAGTTGTTGTTTTTTAATTCATGCAGTTTAAAACTTTTAAGACAGAAGCTCTAAGTCCACTTGAAGATTCTTTACTTTGTAGTATCTAGAGTTGGTGACTCATCTCAACTCCTATTTTCAATTACAGGAACTAAGCAAGAACGAATTTGTTTTAATTTCCCTGTAAAAAAATATCCACTACTACATCTCCTTTAGATAACAACTGACTTGAGAAGATACACAGTAAGAGAAGTAAGAGGGACTACAACATTATAGTGCTGTTCCTGTGGCACAAGCTGCACATCAGGTTGTGTATATCTAGAAGTTTCACATGAATTTTGTGGCCTCTGCTTATGAGCACACCAGATGCCCATCTGATGTGTCAGTAACTGCTTTGGCTCAGGCACCCTACATTAAAAAAAAACAGAAAAGGAGATCTTACCAATTTCCTCAGGAAGGTGTGTGAGAAGGTTCTCTCCAAGCCCAAGGTGTGTCAGATTGGTAAGGTGACCGATACCTCTGGGAAGGGTGGTCAACTGATTATTAGTCAGAACCAATTTCTAAGGGAAAAAAATACACCAAAAACATTTTAAAAAAATAATATAGTGACTTTTGCTTCAGATTACAGCAAGTAACAAGCTGATAAATTGATGCACTGTCCTCCAGCATCTGAACAAAAAATGTCTACCCCTCAACAACATTTCAGACCTCTATTAAGCACTACTAAACATTTAAAAAATATAGCACATAGTAAAACACATGCCTAAATATAAAAACTTTCATGAACATCACTGAAATCAGAAGGTATTTCTGGGGCAGTATTGCACTCCTGGTACAACAGTTAAAATCTTTAAAATTTGTGTTCAGTATTAACTGATAAATCTGGGAAAGAATTAGTGGGGACAGACTGTGAATGAAGTTGCACAAGATTCTTAACTTTTGTTTCTATGTCCATTTCCCAAAGAGTTTCCCTCATCAAACTAGCAATAATTAAATTAGCGTGGTGTAAATAAGGGATGCAAGATGTTTATCTTGGCCCATTATTGTTTCACCTGCAGATCCTTGAGGTAAGCTATTTCATTTGGCAAGGATTCCAGTTTGTTTTCCTCTAGATCTAGCTCTCGGAGCTTCCGTAGATTTCCAATTCCATGGGGAAGTTTCTTTAGTAGATTGTTGGACAAGATAAGAACCTATTTAAAAAAAAATTGCATTTCAGCAACACAATTAGTAAATAACAATTAAGACAAGATCTTTTATATTCTCCAGTAAAGAAGCCAAATATTAGCCTCCGTTCAAATTAAATTACCAAAAAAACCCCAATGCTTTCCTAGATTTCCCATTATTTTGTTATCTTTCCTTATAGCTATCACATAATTGTGTTTTACATTATTTGCTCTACTAGCCAAGTCCTCCTTAAAGAGCTTAATACTTCCTCTTCTCCCTACGGCTCTTTAGTTAGGAGCAGCAGCAAGTTAACTTACAGACCAAAGCAGCTAAGCAGAAGACTGCACAGACACTGGCTTTTCAGAATGGTCTCCTACCACACACCTACAGTGCTATCCTCGTTTTTTTTTTTTTAAGGTGAATTATAAATATCCTAGGTTCCAGAAATACACTTCTTTGCAACGTCATTAGACAGAGTTATGCAATATACCACAAGCAAGTCAGCAGGGGTTACACTAGCATGCCATTTTTCCTCCCACATCCAACAGACCTTAGAACTAATCAAGCTTCACACCAACACAGTGAGCTTAAGTCAGGCAATTAACTGCCTATTGAAAAATGCTCTTACCTAATTATTTAACAAAGCACATTGAAACACAAGGATGTGAAACAGCACACAGTGTGGATCCTCATGCTGGCCACATACAGCTCTCTGCTAAGCCAGCCCAGATGGCAAGTGCCTGACTTCTACCACCCCCAGCTCTCACTAGTCCCGTTCAATGTGGAAACACCAAAGGCAGGAACATAATAGAAAACAAGGCTAAAAATCAAAGTGAAAATCAAAATGAATAAAAGCCAAAATGTTAGCACAAGTACAAGGAGTCTTTTGGTGGCCTTTATGGACTACGACACACACAGAATGATAAGAATAGTAACATTTTAATCACATATCATGAAACAAAGGCAGGAACAGAAAATATTACCTACATGCAATGCAGCTGACTTAACTCTGCTGTGGGAACCTTCACTTTTGTGTAAACACTGCCCAAACAGTTCTTTGTATTTGATTCTTTAATTACAGAGCAAAATAGCACTAACAGGTCTGCAGACCATGCAGCTCTCCAGCTTTGGCAGCTGGCAGAGCACTGGCAAATTACTTGCTAGAGGTTACTAACTTCCCAATCACATCAATCACAGCCTTAACTGAAAAGGAACCAGACTACTGAAATACCTATTACTCTGCCATCTAATTTTTGCCTCAAACTATGGGAATTATTAATTCTTCAAAGCAGCAGTCACACTGGAAATCTACAATTTCAAATATGCCTTTTGCTATTATACTTTAACAAATTTCTTCCAGCAACCCAGAGAGGCTACGAAGTCCCCTCAACTGCCCAAATAAGCACCTCTACATTTATGTCCCTCCAATTAAGTTTGCTTCTGCTGATGGTACTTTGGGAAACAGGACTAGGGGACACAACAAGTCTAGTTCATGGCTCCAACCTATGAGTCCTTCCCTCTCAAAGGCTGGGAATTCCCACCCAGCTGCCTATAAGGTTCACACTGCTACATTAAGCCACCTCATACATTTTTTTTCTGACCCGTGATGTTCCCATTCTGGTCTCTCCAGAAATCAAACTGAGTCCAGTGCCATTTCATTTACAACAGTAACTTCCTGTTGAGAAACATTTTCTTTCTACACAGTTTAAAATATATATGTACTAAGCCATTCATGCACACTCATCTAAAGCCTAAAGAACATTTTAAAAAGTGTTGACAACAACCACAAACAAATGCAACACATTTATTTAAACAGCACACATATACATTTATTTGGCTTTATTTGACCCAAAAGTAATACTACTTAAACCTGAAGAAGATAACACCTATTTGCAGAGATTCACGTAGCTGTTCATTCATACTCTTCTCACCTCAAGAGAAGCAAGCCCAGATACATCCTCAGGGATTTTTGTGAGCTGATTAGTCGCTAAGTTCAGTTCTACCATACTAGTCCAAGTCCCAAAGTCCAGGGGGAGAGAGGTCAGCTGATTGTCCTGGGATTTAACATATCAAACATTTAGGGTCTGCACTTGCAAGAAGTAGAAAAGGCATCCTAGAGATTAAACAACCTCCTTATAAAATACTTAATATCGAAATAGTACATAGTCAAAATCAGAATAATAACATTTTTATAATTAGCCAAATATTTTTTAAATTTCTCCAAATGCAGTAAATAGTCCCAGCCTAGAGTTACAGAATTGACTCTGTGTCACTAAAAAGAACTGAAATGGACAAATCAGAAGTACGTAATTCTCAAGACTGCATGTGTGCCAGCAGTTAAAACAGCAATGCTGTAATCCTAAAAATACATGCATTTTTATTAAAAACAGAAAAACCCCAAAACACAAAAAAAAAACTCCAAAAAAAAGAAAAAACCACATGAGCAAACAAAAACCCCATTAAAAAAAAAAAGGAACAAGAAAAAAAAAAACCCAAGCATACCATAAAGGAAAATATACCTTAGTGGCTTAGAGTAAAAACACCTGAAACTAATCTGAACCACTTACTGCTAAAGACGTTGCTACAAAACTTTTTATCTAGACCAAACACTAAAAAAAACAACAAACAAACTGAAAAGTCCTGGTAAACATGCAAAGTTACAAGTGGGTATGTGATAAAAAACAGTCTCAATGCAAACTAAGAATCCATTTGGACCAAAAGATATTCTATGAGAGTAGCTGAGCTTAGCTACTGCTCAAATATTATTTACTTTTTCCAAAATAATGTAAGAACTTGAAACAAACCCAATCTCAGAATAACAATCTCTTTTCCCTAGTTCTTTTCACTCAGTGTTTGTAGCACAGACTTAAACATTCCTCTTCTGTGCCCTATAACTACTGCCAAAAGTGTCCAAACTTAGGCACTGAAAAAATATATTAAAAAGTACATTTTACATAATTTTGTTTATAATCTAAACTGTAACAGTAGAGAGAGGGAAAGAAATAAGCTACTCTACATGCTCATGTCCCATGTGAATATTCAATAACTTTGCAACCAACTTCCTTACTTCATTGTTCAAATTTGAGAAAACATGACAAAAGCTTGACTAACAAAAATAAAGACAAATCATTAACATCCTGATAGTACATTTTTAAACCATACAGAATTACATCTATATGTGACAGCAGCAGCATCCACTTCAGCACAATCTGTTCATTCCCTCTATCCTTAAGTTTGCTGGAATTCATGGAGCAGCCAACAGTGCTCCTCATTGATTTTACACACAGCAGCATGTTTCTGTGCCTCACCTTCATGTTCAGCTTACTTAATACTTTAGCTCTAGAGAAAATTCCAAAGGGGATTTTATTGATGCGGTTGTGCTCCATATTGAGAGAGTAGATTGTAGAGAACTGGGACGGGCCACCCACGGGATAGGACTGGAAGCAGTTCCTGGCCAGTGTTAAACTAGTCAGTTTGACAAGGCTGGATAAAAGACCCTGTAGAGAGAAGAAAACCACCCAGGAACTTAGGACAAATTTATGTGAATACATCTTTTTTCTCTTACGGGTCTAATTAGAAATGTTATTCCCCCTTCAAGTCCAACCCCCAAATAAGCCTTGCAACACACAAACCAGTGTTACAGTTGATAAAACTTTGTCAGCAACAATCTCTGCTCACAACCTGTACCTTATTTCCCCTCTTTCTCGTTACGTAACTGCCAGGTACGAAAAAGAACAAACCTATCACACTGAAAAGCACAAATTTAGGAGGTTTGTAACTTTTTTCCCCTCTGAAAGGACCTTTTTTAGTAACATGTTGCTGTGTCTCGGGCAGCTCTGCAGAGCACAGGGGCAGCGGATGGTGGGTCCATCTCACAGCTGAGAGTGGGGCTCAAAGAAAGGCAAGCTCTGGTTTCCAAACTGGGGTTTGATACTTCCAGTACAAATCTTTGTTAGTGTAATAACAATCCATAAGGTGAACACATTGGGAGAGCTTTCCTTTTAGGCTGCAACACTTTCAGATAATATGACAGAAAAAAAGAACAGCAAGGCAAGGCTTTGGAAATTTCTTTTTTATTTTCCCTGTTTTCAAAATATTCCTAAATAATTATTATTCCCCTTCCCTTATTTTTTTTCCCTTAAGAAATAAAACGCAAGAAGCCCAGAGTTAAACTGGGTAGCCACGGTTTCCCATTGAATCCAGAGTCTCATTTCACTTCACAATCTAATCAGATTCCAAGATCCTAGCAGCACAGATATCTCGGAGCTTATCAGTTAGTTACGTGCCAAGCTCATTGCTAGAACTGTGGGGATGGGTAACAAGATCTAAATTACTGTTGAAGTGTCACCTTTGGTTATTACTACACCAACTTGCACTCAGTCCTATTTGCTTAAGTATCACAGAAACTGGAGACTTACATGTGGCATTATATGCCATAAATAATGGCACATCTGCAATCAGGAAAAAACAGTAACAAAATAATTATTCCAACCATAATCGTAGTATCAGTATTTCTAGACTGAAATTTCAGTGCTATATTCACTGTAAAAGCTTCAAAAACATGGCTTTGCTATTTCACCAGGACAGCTTTGGCTACTTTTCTAAATACTTCAGTAACATTTTTTTAATTAAAACAGGATTAAGGAGGGACTTGCCTACATGTCACAGCTAAAACTTTAAGCACTGAAATAAAATTCTCGGGGCATTTTGGCAAATATCAGTGAAACAATTTCCCCCCTAAAGATAAAATAATGGATCTTCAAATCAGTATTAATTTAACCTAATCATTAACTAGCATAATCTTTGATTAGGAAATACTGCTTCTAGCTATACTTTAATTAACAGATATTCTTTGTCCTAGAGTTAAGACGGTCCCTCAGCTCCGTTACAAACACACTTTATTGCTTCAAATGGATCTTAGCATTTCAAAAAGCCATTTTTGATGTCTGCTTCCACACAAAAAAATATTTTTAAAATTTTAGCTAATACACTCTAATAGCCTAGAGTAATTAAATACATTTGAAGGGAAGCAAGAGAGCTTTGGCAGTACAAAGAGAACAATGCTCTTGTATCTATGAGAGCTGTGGCAGTGCTGCCTTCCCCCAGCCCATCCTTTCAAGATAAAATATTTATTAGGCATTGTGTCAACAGCTTCGGCTATGTTTTGAAATTCAGAAGTTTCTTCTGCATACACAGTTCTTTGTATTATAGCACAGAATGTTTGACTTTAAACAGACTACAGTATAAACTATACACTTCTGTGAGGTAGCAGCTTAAGTGTTAACATATTGTTGGCAAATACAGATGAAGAAGGCAGCACAGTCACAGAGTTTTGCATTACGACTGAACATATTTTAAAGCAAGTAATCTTCCTTCACATTAGCTTTTTGTAATTATACCGTAGTTGCTTTTATGTCTGGGTGGGATGGGCTAGCTTAGCTCTCATCTGAAAAGCAGCCTGGTGGCTTTCAGTCAGCAGCATTTTCTTAAGTCACAGTTTCACCCAAACATTTATTAAATTATCTGTTTTTGGTTTACTATTGAGGAGTTTAAAAATTTATCTGAAGGAAAATAGTTTTGGCACTTTGTTAATATGAATGCCTAACTCCAAATGCATTTTGTTGTGTTTTTGTCTTCTGTGTTTATTTTCCTCTATACCTCTTTAAATATTTTTTTAATTATTTGATACTAATAATTCATACTACTTTAACAGCCTAGGAAAGTAGTTTGAACCATCATTAAAACAGAACAGCATAAAAGTCTATGTTGTGTCCTAAAACCTGTATCTCCAAACAGTTCTAAAGTAACAGGAAAAAATATCTAAAATAAGAATCAATCATTTGAGAATTTTTTCTGTCACCAGAGCAATCCTGCCCAGGCACTGATGCTTCAAGTCAAACGTTTTCTCTAAATGTTTACTAGCACCAAAAGCAAGCAGTATGCAGCCAAGCATCACATTCTGCTATCCTGATAAATCAATCTCAAGAAACATAAGAAAAGGAAAATCAGGATGAAAGGTATAACTAACAGCTGAAATAGTTTCACAATCTGCAGACATCAAACCTGTATTTTAAAAATGGTGCATAGCCAACTACTGCAGCTATCCAGGACTGTGAAACTGGAGTCCGCAGGGGCACCTTTTAGAGAACTCTAGGGAGTGAATACAGAAAAATGTACAGTACCGTTGGGGACTAGGACTTTCTGTCTCTACACCCCAGAGGTAGAAAGCACTCTGTTCAGGGAACATGTTACTTGAAGAGACTGACAAGGCAGCTCCAGACCTTCTCACTATGGACATTTTCCTTGGTCCAACACTAAGCTTGGAACTAAGTGAGTCCAAGGTAAGAATCAAGTGCAGCAGGTATGAAAAGAAATGTGGGTTATCTTCCTCTCTCTATCTTATGATCCTCAGTCACTGGAAAATGAAAAATTATTCAAATTTTTATTTTTTATAACTGGCAGAAGGTGTGTCAAGGAGTTGCCAGATGATATCTCATTGGTGTCAAGAGCATATTTTTCCACCTTAAAATGGGAGTGCTGAGGCCAAGTAGCTGTGACAAGCTTTAGCCATTCTCTTAAAGGTCATTCTTGCCTCAGAGAGAAAAGAGAAATCCTATTTTTCTTTTTTCTACTTCTTCCCTACCTACATGAAACAGGAAAACTGAGAAGCTCTTATCTAGTTTGAATGGTAGGAACCTGGACTCCTTATTTAAAATTTTCTAAATAGACTGAGGACAGCAAATCCAATCACATGTATTACTCCCACTTTTGACTGAAGTTGTATGGCCTCAGTTCTTCTATACTAGACACATCTAATCTGTAAAGAATTGCAGTATTTCAAATTACACACATGTAGATTACAACAATGGGTATTCCTGAGAACTCTGATGCAAGACAAAATAATTTCACATGTTCCAATCCCTCTGCAAAACACCAGTGCCTGACAACAACATTCCTTTCCAAATCCACTCCCTCTAGTTCTCACCTCTGGCAAAGTAGAAATGTTGTTGTTCTCCAGGTTCAGTTCATCAAGTTCACTGCATTTTGCTAAAGACTTCGGAATTGCTGACAGCCTATTGTACCTCAGGCCAAGACGACTTAGACTGGATAGATTTCCTGCAGGTAGGAAACAGGTAGTAATATATTGTTAGATTAACACAAAAGCACAGAACAAGGTTTGACTTTTGATACTCCTGTTGTCTCAGACTCTACACTTCAGACCTTTCATATGGTGAAATAGAGTTATCATCCCAGAACAGGCAATACATAGGTTACAGCTTTTTCCAACACTGAAGTCAACCATGCTGAAGTAGACTGTGCATATTAAATATTCTTCTTAAATTGTGCAGAATACGGTAAGCAAGGAAGGCCTATGTCCTGTTGAAGTCTTTATACCCTGTTCTACCAATTAACAACTCTATATTTTCCAGATGTCCCCAAAACTACTTTTTAAAATTATAGATAGCATCATTCCATGCTATGACTCATGTTACCAGAACCTGGGCACACATTACACAGCTCAGGTCCTGGCAAAACAATTTCCTCTACGGGGGAAAAACCTTTTACCATTCTTCAAAAGCAACCAAGTCTTTAAAAAATGATAGGAAAAAAAAAAAATAAAATCCAAGTTTTCTGAATGATACCAAAGGAAAAATCTGGAGAAAGTCTGCAGAAATCGAGACAATAGCCCACATAAAAATCTTACTTAACTTTGTCAGGTGGACAGTCCCTGTTGATTCCTGTTTCTGTCAGGAAAAAAAATTATTGAGAGACTCGCAACTTGAAGATTTCCCATCTGGGGCTCCCTTTACCACCTAGCAAGTCCTCAAGACCAAACTCAACTGCATAAGAATGTCTTTGAACTATATAGTGCTGGGGCATTTACAGTCTCCTGCTGGTAGTAAGACCTTTAACTTGACTGAAATGTCAACTGGCAAATAGTAGGAAGAACAGTGCTTAGTCTTCTGGCTTGTCCTTCTGATCAGAAAACACATCTGTGCACAACCATGCATCAACCAGTGGAGCTTGTGAACAGACTGACACAGTCAGTTCCTTGCAAAACATTCATGATTTGATGCTAATTTTTACAACCACTCACGGCACAACACATTTATTCTGCAGACTGAAGTACAAGAAAGACGCATTAGAAAAGGTTTAACAAACGGCAGCAAGTATAACCAGAAATAATTTTAAAAGATTAAGGGCACTTCATATGTACATATGAAGGATATATTAACATCTATGCATATGTACTTATACAATGTTCCTGGAGCACAGTAAAGAAAGCAGCAAATGTTGGGCATGAAATACTCTTGGAAGCAAAGAATGAAACAAAAAAGAAGTGGAGAATTAAAATTAATATAAATGCTACAATGAGATCTGCTAGACAGAGGAAAAGTCTCCACAAAAGAATACCTCTTTCTTGAGCTTGGCTAAAATACACTATAAGTATTTGATCAAAATATACTGCAAGAATCACCCTACACCACTGAGTAGCAGGAAATTTAGCTAATGAAAATGGGAAATGGCGAATGTTGTACGATTCACTGTAGATACTAAAATGGAAATACACATGATCAGTGAAAGTAAAAAAAAAACAACAAACCAAAACACAAACCAAAAACCAACCAACCAAACAACAACAAAAAAATCTTATATAGAGCAAAAATTATTCAGGTCTTACAAATCAAGAAAGAAAATAAGATGAATTTTCAGGACATATCTGGTATTTAGTTAACAAGCTTAGCAACAAATTTCACCTAGTACCATCAATAATGAAACACAAGGTAAAACAACAGGTAGTCACCCAGAGCTTCTTAACTAGTAGCATTTCCCACTGGGAATTTTATTTATACTTAAGTGCTTTATTTCTGAGCAAGTATACAATAAGCTTTTGCAGAAGCAGTAGAGAAAAAAGAAAGCCTTCCCTTAACCAAAGAAGATCTGGTGAGATCTGGCACTGCTGACTGTATAGGAAACTGGTCTCACCACACGTCCTATAGCAAGGCACCAAGAGCACTAAGATTTGCACATCCTGACTGCGTTTCCCTGAATTGCTATTTAACACTTTACCAACAAATCAAATTACAAACTTTACACAAAATAAGGTCTCAATCTACTGTTCTTTTTTTGCTACTTAAATCTTGAGCTAGACGCTGGTCTGGATTTTTCAGGCAAATTGGATGAACAGGGAATGGCTCTAGCAGACAGCATGATGCCAACTGTTGCTTAGCAATACAATGTGTCTATGCCAGTCCCCAGATTGTGAGCACAGGTTGTATGTATATGTCTCTCTTCTTAACAGCAACGTGGCATTTCAGAAAAATGAAGCAAGGCAGCCATTAGAGAGAATCAAACTGTATAATAATTTTTCAGGAGAAAATGACACACATTGTCATGGCATTATCAGAAAGGAGGCATAAGCAGCAGCTCTCATTTTTTTTTTTTTTAATCATAGTAGCATTTCTCAATAAAACTCTATCGCTGTTTCTCTATTAGTTATCTTTCTCCTCCATGGGAAACCCATGCAAAGGCATAACAAAAGACACATTCTGCATGTACCATGTTTCCTGTGAGTGTTTTACACACCACAGCACTGAATACAGTCACCTCTGAGAACAAAAGCAGCAAGCTTTCAGTTGGACCTTCATCAGTAGCACCTCTCCCACTGGTGCTGGAAGGGCTGCTCTGCATCCAGTTGATGCAGGCACTATGAGCTGCCTTCTCATTTCAAGTCAGAATTTATCATACAAAATTTGTTGTCATTTAGTCTTCTCTCAACAAGACTTTTCATCCTCATAGTTCATATTCACACCTCATCGTGAGCACAGAGTGAGAAACCCTTATATCAGTTTTTATCTTCACATGCTGCACAAGCAGACCTCAGTCTCTTCATCACAAAAAAAAAAGGATGATCCTTATCACTCTTCCCTCTGCAAAGTGTGTTAATTTTATTTTTTTTTAAAGGAACACTTGGTACAAGAATCTTCATATTTGCCTCCGTGGGCCAGCTGGCAGGCAGCTAGCTAACGTGCTCAGGCCTCCTCATCAGCTCTCTGACCACCTAGTGACAAACTTTCTAACAGAAACTGTTACAAGTTACTAAATAGCACACCTTGCCCTTTGTACCAGCAAAGGGGACTCAATTTACCGCCACCTCAGGATTACCAGTATGACACTCATTCAGAACTGCCTTACAGTGCCTACACTTATCTCCATCCTCTCCAGTTCAAGTACTGGTTTTGGATATAGCACCATATTAGGTGCTGATGTGCTGTCAAGTCTAAGAAATAAGGCAAGTAAGGTAACAATTGAACACAATCAAGTCAGACAGTCATCAGGATCACTTGTGGTTGTACTTGCCACTGAAACCACACCTCTGCAGTTCCTCTAAAACAGTCCCTTGCAGGTAGAGTGACTCAGAAAATGCAGTATCAGATGTTCATGAACATGATGCTTTGATGACCACAAATGAAAAGTGCCTGCTAGCAGGAAAAGCAACAAACAAAACCCCTTCCCACCTGTTTTCTTAGGAAGCCCATCATAAGAAACCTTGTAAACTCAGCTCTCCCATCCATTGGCACTTCGAAAAATACAATACTAAAGCCTGACTAAGCCCAAACTCATGCCTAAGAAAGTCACGGAAAAATTGCTTCAGTTCAATTTCTGGCATGAACAGTCATCTTGGGAATTAGGTTTCATACAGCCACTTTAAGGTCCACTGTATCACCACCAAAGGATATTTATGCCCACCAGTAGGCTCCACTTTGCTCAGCTCTCAGGTTTGAAGCAACATGAGCACAGAAGTCCTGTCACTTCATTGGAGTGACTGCATGTCTCTTTCAGGGTTAGATGTTTAAGTTACACAGAAATTAATTACTTGGAAGCATGCAAATCCAGAAACATTAAACTGTTATTATAAAAGGGACTCTAAATAGATGGTTTTAATTAAATTATTTATTAAAGGTACCTAAAAAATATTAGACAAAGAAAAAACAGATGTTTGCCAATCCCAAAATGAAGGGGAGACTGGAAATAAAGCAGAAAACCATGCTTACAAAACCACACATTTCAGAAAGACCACCTGAAGTTGTTCTCCAAATAGGAGCAATACACCCCTGTCATTAGTATTTCAAACCCAAGAGAAACTGGATCTGGTACGCAGAATAACAGAAAGAAATCCAAGTTTCTAATTCAAAGTTCTATCAGTGCTTTCTAAAGGGAGCGACAAATGCTCTCTTCTCTAGATTTACCCCACCTTTTCCTTCCTTTTTAAAGGATTATTAAAAATAATCCTTCAAATTTCCTACCCTTAGATGATGGGTGCAAAATATTACTGCATCATTACTAAAAGATGGAACAATTAGGCTGTTTTACGTAACTTAGTTCATCAAGCTATTTTGCCATCAGGATCAGTTGTTTTCTCTCAAATAAACCGAAGCATCAGATCAATTTTGAATCTGTTCGCTAGAGAAAACTCTTCTGGAGATAACACTGGAAACACAGATTGGATTTATAAGAGCTGTGCACATCACAAACCCATAAGATTGTAAATAAAAGTATATATTACACAATTTTGCAAACGATGATCAGCCACCTATTAAAGTATATGTTTTACATGACCACACATTCTTTCATAGAGTGCAGCTCATTTAAGGGAAAATTAAGGGATAATCTTCTAAGAAAAAAAACAGCTGTTGTACATCCAAAAGCTACCAGAGGTAATTTTTAACAAATAGGGGAAAAAGTACACCCAAAATTAGTATTTTATTTTTTAAAATCAAACTTTGTCACTTAAAAAAAAACCCCAACATACAAGAATTAAGCTTAATTCACCACGTCATATTATTCTTGTAGTGAGAATAACAAAGATGAAAATACAAAAGCAAAAGCCAAAAGAGGTTCAATGAGTATGTTGCAAAGCAGCTGGGACCTAAGGCCTTAAAAGAGTTTAAAACTGCATAGGAAAGACTAGAACAGCTAGAGATAACCAGTTACACAGAGATTAAATACTGCATTCAAATATTTCAACATTAAAATAGCCTGAAATAGCCAAAAGAAGCCTGCCTCACACTGTACTTTCTAGATATTAGTTTTTCCAGACGTTGGCCATACTC